CATCTAGGAAAACCCCTTTTTTTTGCAAATTTAAGCTCTCTCTCATGAAAAATAAATTCTTGTAGTCGTTCTCAAGTAGGTTAATGCAGAGAAAATGAATGAGGCTGTGGAAGTGATTGAGGAATGCGCGAAAGCCGGGGGAAAGCAGTCGAAGGATAAACGGTTTGCAGATGACCAAGGCATGGTGACGAGCACAAGGACTTCAGAAATCGGTGAATGGGTTAAACGCGGTGGTCGAGAAGTTTGATGTAAGTTTGATGTGAAGACCAATGGGAAGAAGACAAAGGTAATGGGAAAGGAGGAGGGAATAATAAGCATTGTGATTGACGGCCAGAAGGTGGAACAGGTGAAAAAGTTTAAGTACTTAGGAGATTTGATCACAGATGATGGAAAGGGTGAGGTGGAGACCAGAGAAAAAGTAGGATTGGCAAAGGATGCTTTTAGCAAGAGCAAGGAGTTATCAACAAAGAGGATGAGCCAAGAGGTGAAGAAAAAGATGGTGAAGGCAGTGGGGGGCTGTCTGGCTTCATATGGGTCAGAAGACTATAAAAATGAAGAAAAAACATTAGAGGCTTTCGAATGTGAGCGTGATGGATAGAGGGAATGAGCTGGATGCATCGAAGTAAAGATGAAGAGGTACTGGAAGCTGTTGGGGAAGAAGGGGACTAGTGGAAATGATTGCGAGAAGGAAGAACTGGATTGGACACATTCTACGCCGAGAGGGATTGGAGGAATTGACGGAAGGAAGAACTAGAGGGGAAAGACCTAGGGGAAGGAAAATAAAGGAGGAACTAATGGAAGGGTCGCTTGTAGAAATAAAGAGACAAAAATAAGCAAAAAAAATAAGCAAAAAAACTCAATCACGTGGATTAGAAAGGAAATAGTAATTTCTCGAGAAATGCTTTCAGCATTTCTTGCAATAAACGAAATATTAAAAAAAACGGAGGGAGCGATTCACCCTAAATTCACACGAAAGCTAACGAGGAAGTGGATTTTATTGTCATCACACCAATGCTTGTCATCACATCAATGATTATCACACCAATGCCCGTACGGGCTTGAATACATCGTACAGCAGGTGAAGGATGGGAAAAACGAAATAGGGACATAAACATGCACACAACTCACCTCCATATTGATAAAATTGATATAAGAATATTTTGAAAACACAACAGGCCCATGATCACGTGACATACAAGGATGAGCGAGAATAGTTTAACACTGGAGCGTTTCATTTTGCCGCATGACTCAAGAGAATGTTATCTCTCCCCTGATACCGGTGAAGAAATCCTCAAAATGACTCAGAAAGTCCTTAAGTACACCGTACCGACATTTACCCAGGATCCAGGCGTCCATACACATTTTTACGACGGCAGAAAACCAATGGGCTTTCATACCACCGATTCCCTTTATTGAACCGCTTCCAGTCCCGAAATTCCACCTCTTTCCATTCCTCTCTGAGAGCATCTGGGGAGTTTTGGTTACCCGTTCTCGAGGGGACGGCAAGGGATGCATAACGGATGACGTCATTGATGACATCACAAGCAGTTTTTAAACTCGGGTGGTAGGCGTCTAAGATGTCGAGGGTCTCTTCCAGCCGTTCTCCCAGGAACGCGACGCAAAGACCCACCAATCAGGAACGGCTCCATGATCAGGAGAGCTTCGGTACAACGTCATGCCATTCCTCTGAGTCAGTCCTTCTTTGAACGGCGGCTGACTCACTGGGCTTTGTTGAGACTGGCACCTTATCTGATCACATTCCCATCTGTCTCTGCGAGGAACGAGATTGCATGGACCTCTTGCTGCAAAACGGGAATTCGCGTTCTCTCTGAGACATGATGAGCTTCATAAATTTCTAGACAACCCATACTAGCCCGGATCTTCTCGTCTTCCAAATCTCTCTATAGATACGACAGGTAATGGGGTGTATCCCATTCTGTTGCATAAGTTCGACCAGAGGCCTTGGAATTCCTCGTGAAAATCAATGGCAACAGCTTCAATCTGGTATGAATTGCATCAAAATTGAATATCTAGAGATTTGCAAGTCTATTACAATCTAAGACTACATTATAGCTTTGTATGACTGAGCCAAAGATGTCGTGTACATTTCGTCCGTTCCAGATCTGAAGCGCGAAGCCGAAATACCATTCGAAAACCTGGAATTCGAATGCCAAGTAATTCGTTCGCATTGCCATCCGCAAAAAAAAAAACGCGAAAAAAACGCGAAAGCGGATTCCCTCAACTTTCCATCCAAGCCTGCCCGACGTTAGCTGCTTGTTAGCTTCTTATGAACTTCTTGTTAGCTTCTTGTCGGACGACAAGAGGTTTTGCGGAAGCCCATCCCTCACAAGGGGAACCCCACTCTCTCCATGCATTGAGCAAGAATTGCCTGGAGTCTCCTTGAGCTAGGTCGCGTCTCCCAACAAATGTATTACTCATTATGTATTATGTATGACACTTGGGTCTTGTACGTGGAAAACTGTCGAGCTGAGGATGAAGGCTTCTGCAGAGTCATTCATTAGCATTGGCGGAATCGGGAGACACGCAGCAGCGGGATGGGCTCGCTTATATTGTGGGAACTTTTTCGAAGGAGCAGCTTATCGTGTCATATTATCGATATCATGGTTGAAGTAACTGGATTTCTACCGAAGATGAGAGATTTGGAAAAAAAAAGGAACTCAAGAAATTCCATGCTCGGATGCTCGGAACGCCATTAATTAAAACCGTCATTCGATGAAATGGAAATAATTGAGCGTTCGGTGTTGGGAGATTCTGCTCGGATTCTGCTCAGATAAATCTCAGAAATGCATGAGAAGATAACGATCCATGGCGATGTGCATCCAAAGGAAGAACGCTTTTGGACTTTCGGTTTAGAACTTTAAACTTTCGGTTCGCGGGCGAGTTTTGGACCTCCCGCGACCATTTGTGAAAGGGCGGGTTCGAGCTGAAAAAAAATTCCTCAGGTCGGGCTGCCGCTTAGTTGGATTTGCTTGAAATGTAAAAAAAAAATCTCCTTAGGGAGAAGAGGCGATGAAGATTGCCGACTGCTTCATTCCTCCATTCCGATTGAAATGGATTGGAATTGGACCATGGCTAAGTCACGTGAGTCACAGAGAAACATGCAGATGGAACACTACGCCGAAAGGATAAATGGAAATTTGTTTCCCTTGTCCCCTTCAAAAGAGTAGGGGTTCGTCTATAGTAGGAAGGCATGCATTACATATACCTGTACCGCGGGGGTCTGCATAATTTATGGCCCCGCCCCACATCTGTCGCTGGATTGCACATCTACTTCCTTCGGTTGAGAGAAACAATGTTCTTCCCTCGACCTAGGAAATAGGAGGCAAAACCTGCGAGCACACCTCCTTTTGGTAAAATCTACTCAGTTTCGTTCGTGGTTTTCAAAAGGAATAAGGTCATATTTCTTCACGGGACTCCATGATTATATCTGGAATATGGGGATGACAAATAAGGACCTGTCGAAGTTTATTGATTACTACAATGAGGCAAGGCGAGGCATTTGGGGACGTACAAAACTCTCTTGTGAGAAATGATTCCTCGGGTAAGGGGAGGGGACTTTTGTGCCCTTTCAGAAATGCGAGAACCCAATACTTCCATCTAGTGGCCTAGAGGAGAACTTCAAACGGAACCCTATGGGCCTATAGGGTTCCGTATAAGCCCTATAGGGAACCATATAGGTCCTATAGGGTTACGTATAGGCACTATAGGTTACCCTAGAGGCCCTATTGGGAACCCTATAGGTTTTATAGGGAACCCTACGAGTCCTATACAGAACCCTTTGGGTCCTATACAGAACCTATAGGCCTTATGGGGAAACCTATTGGCTCTATAGGGAACCCTATCGTTTCTAAAGGTGACTCTACAGGTTCTATAGGGAACTTTATAGGTCCCAAACTGAACTCTATGGGGCATATAGGAATCTATAGGATTCCTTTAGGTTCCTATAGGATTCTTATAGGATATATATATATATTCCTAAATATATATATAGGAATCCTACAAGACATTTTCGTAAGGGTAGACAAGGGAGGAATCACATGGTCCAGGTCGGAAGGGGTTAACGACAGATTGAAGGAGTTATGTATCGCGGAGGGAGCAGTGTTTCTGGACACTAGGAAGGCTTTGAGTCGCTGTAGAAGTCCGATGGCTAGGGATGGAGTACAATTTTCGATAGAGGAAGCTGCAGCAGCCGGATTGGATATCATGAAGGAAAATGAGCCTTTTTTAGGGTTGTAGATGGGGGGGCAAGGGATCACAAGCAAGGGACAGCCACTACGAGCAGCTTTAGACTGCCGCGTACTTGGGTGCAGGAAAGGCTGGAAAGAGTCAAGTGTTTCTACGCGAATGCACGCAGCTTACGTAATAAAATTGACGAGCTCGGGGGGAGGGCACAGGACAACGGTTTCGATGTCATCGGAAAAACCGACACTTGGGGTGGTTCCCACATTTCGGATGAGGAATTCGAGATCGAAGGTACATCTTGCGGAAGGATAGGCTCGGCAGAAAGAGGGGAGGAGTCGTGTTGTACGCTAAAACTGAACTGGGCGTTCGCGTCAGAGAAGATCTCACCTCGGCTAACTGTGGAGCAATCGAACACTTATGGTGCGAGATCGGTGGGGCATCTGGGAAGATCGTGATAGGAATTTGCTATAGGCCCCCGAACTCTTCTCTCAAGGATGAAACAGCTTATTTTGCACTCATGCGTAGGATCGGCGAGATCTCGAAGCAAGTATTGCTCTTTGGAGACTTTAACATGCCCAACATAGATTGGTCGGTGCCGCGAGGGGAGTGCGAAAGGGATAGGGAATTTCTCGTTGCGGTTCAGGTCGCTCATCTCGTTCAATACGTAAATAAACCCTTACGGAAATGTCCTATAGGAAACCTATAGACTTTCCTATAGGTTTTTGAAACACGAAAAACCTATAGGATCCTATAGGATCCCTATAGGGTCTTATAGGTCTCCTGACCTATAGGATTCAGGGAGGAAATTTTGGGTTTCGAAACCCAGGCATTACGACGGAAAAGGCGACCGAGGTTAATATTGGCGCAGCATTACGGTGTAAATAAAAAACCGATTAGGGGTTCTTCCATGGTAGGGACGCATGCATTAATACCAATACTACCATAATTTATGGCCCCGTCCCACATGTGTCGCTGGGTTGCACGTCTATTTCCTTCGGTAGGAAGAAGTAGTATTCTTCTCTCGACCTAAGAAAATAGAAGACAGAACCTGCGAGCACGTCTCTTTACTGAAACTCCCTTTGGATAGAGTCTACTTAGTTTTTTTTTTTTTTTATAAAAGGAGCTAATGGTATGGTGGGCCCCGCTGTCAGTGGTGGACCGTCACATGACTCCCGCCCACCATGGTGAGATCCTCCCAACACCAGGGCTGGCAGAGTGCAATACCCTGGAGAAGCTGTTGTGAACGCCATGGGAAGGTGACCCATGACTCAGGCGTGAGGACGAGTGTGCAGGCACGCTCGCCACCAAGCCTGGATCTCTCCCGTTATTACTTTTAGCTGTTAATTCTATATTCCTTTTTTTTTGACAGAGAGCGGCCTTTAATGAGAAGCAAAAACAAGAAGATCCTATCATTGAATTGGTTAGTAGATTTGGGGCTGATTACGTTTTAGGTCCACTTGTTTCTGAAGAAGTTTAATTTACGCCCTAGCAGTTTACGATTTTCTTTCTTTAGGTACGTTTTAATTTATTTCATGCTGAATTTACTGGATTTACATCCTGTCGGAAGTTGTTTAAAGGATAGATGCCCCATAGGAAGAATAGGTGTCTCCAGGTGCCAGCTGGCCGGAAGGGCCTTATCAGGCGCCCTGGTGAGAAGAGCTGAAGCAGGGTGTTATTTGAGACATTGGAGTCATGCGAGAGGAGTTTGAGGAGTGAGGTATTGGATTGGCCGCTAAAGGGAGAGTGAGAGGGTCTGAATTTTTTTTTATGCTTAGAAAGAGCAACAGAAAAAGGAAGGAGAGAGGAGCGAGCGAGTGGGAGAAGAGAGAGAAAGTGAAAGGAAGGTGTGAGGGAAGGAAATGAAAAGTGGCTTTGAGCGATAGTGCGCTCTGGATATTCCTCCGCGGCAGAAAAAAAGCACTGCGCGAAGGAATAGGAGGAGGAAGGAAGTGGAGCGAAAATAGAGCGAGACAGAAAAGAGATTTTTTTTTTTCACCCTCATCAGTTCAGGTGCCCCAGAAAAAAGCACTGTTGACACAAGAATGATGAGAGCGTGAGTAGAGGTAGGTAGGGTAGAGAAAAAAATTGAAGTTTCCTGGATCTTCAACATGGAACCTGTCGAAAAGGAAGGAGATAAAAGTTAATCAGTGCCCTCTGAGATTTCGTACGATACCTGCCTGAAGCCGCAAGTGAAGTCTTGGATGCTGAAGACAGGGGATTCCGGACAAAATTCATTCCTTCGACTCAAATGCTTGTCGTTCTAGACATCGAACTTCTTCATGTCATTCGAGCAGGATTCCTCTGGTGTCAGATTTACCTCGTGTCGAGGCGAAAACAGGGACGCGGATGAGATCACTGATGCTGTCTGCAAGAAAGAAACATCGGAATGCATACAGGACGGTACATTGAATGCGTTTCAGTGGGGGCCTCCCGTGCTGCGAATCCCCAGATTGAAATGGGACGGACGCATGCTGTTTCTGAGTAGGATAACCTGGGGTTTACGTGAGATGGTTCTACTTTCTGGTGTACTGCATCCTCGCTGGAGGTCCAGTGGTAGGTCTTAGAGACTGTGGCCGCGAGGATGGAATTCGCTGTAGGGGCATCGTCCGGAAGTTGAGGGAGGTCGAGATGAACGCTTGGTGGGAGGAATTGGTGAGGTTCGCACCAATCCATCAGCCTTTGCTGGATGAAAGGGCTTATAATGCAAGTTGTGCAACTTCTAGGCGTATCTTGTCTAGGGAGTTCCAGAAAGTGGTCTCATTTGTGCCTTGGCATGGTGTGGGACGCCAGATATAGGGATGAGATATCTCAGCATCGATGCAAGTCTGAGACGACAGATCGACGGGGTTCGTGCTATTCCGATTCAGGACCGGTATACTTCGATATATTGAATATACATTCATACAGACATGGGAGGGGAAAGGGGGGCCCTTACCCTAGTTCTTACCCCACCCTCCCGCCCTCCCCCCTCCCTGAATCTTGAAATATCGTCATCATCTTGGGTATACTTTTTTTTTTTTCGGTGGACATCAAGCGGTTCTGTTTCGCTTACGCTCATTTTTAAACTCAGACATTGGAAGAGGCGCATCGACCAACTCTTCTTCGCTAAGTCCAAAATACACATGATGGCAACTGTAGGTTTGGTCTCTGAGTTTTTCTTCTTCAGCTTTCAGCACAAACTCCAATATCTTCTTTTCCGTAAGATGGAATGCTGTTTCGTCCTGCATTTTGCCACCAGGTCCATACTGTTCCAACTCCCTCCTAAATGTCTCATACTCCTCTTTTTTCATGCGGTACTTTTCTTCCACGAAAGGTCGATATGGATGTCTGAAGTTTGGGACGCGAATCAGGATCGCCTGTTGTACGTGAGACGCGTGAATGCCTCCGATGAAAATTCTCTCTCGTTGCCCTTTGTAACGGTACTTTACGTCGACTAAGTTCTGGGCGTAAAGGTCCAAGACTCTGATACTGTTCCCGTCTTTCAGTTCCAGATTGGTGTGTTGGATCCTGTAGACAAGACCAAGATAGGGATGTCGTGCCCGCCCGTTAGGTAGGAAGGAAGGCATCAAAAGGCCGCTCATTGAGCCTTTTCCCCAGGCGGTCAGGCATGTTGCGAATTTCAGGGCACACATGGGATCTTCGGATGTGGATACAAATGGAGATTTCGTGAATTTCAGGTCTTTCAAGAGCGCCCACTTTTCCTTTGTTCTGTCGCGTGCTCGCTTGGGGAGTTGTTCAGTTGATGCAGCGATCATAGAAGACCCTAGCGACTTCAGGGAGTTCACATATACTTGTACCATTTCAATTAATCGAGAGGCGTACTTGCGGCGGCTGGGTTGCTTTGCCAAGCATGGCTCCACCTCTCCACTCCCATGAAGCTCCTTCACCAAGTCTTGGACTTTTTTACATGCTTTTTCAAGCATTTCGTGTTCCCTAGGGGAGTCACCGAAATCGCCAGGATCAAGGGATCCTGGGTTCACTTGATGGACTAATGGGACTTCGGCGAATTGATGGACAGCGGCGCTGTAGAGTCCCAATCGACGCACTATCCCTTTTTCTTTTAGATGGTGATTTCGAATCGCATTGCGGCGGTCTGCTTGCGAGAAATGTTCAGTGGAGAAATGTACTCCACGAAAATGTCTAACTGTTCCATATGTGACTATGGAACTGGGATTGATGAACAGGAATTGGAAACAGGATGAACAGGGCAACAATGCAAATACGAGGACAATCATCAGTACTACCCATACTATCATCAGTACTCCTCTGGGGGTCGGTTTCCATTGGTAATCCAACTCGTCTTCCGAGTCTGTGTCCGAATCGTCGATGCTGTTATTTGGGAACCTCACTGGCTCCTATATTCATGGAAGAAAAATGATGTTCTTTACTAATTCCTCCTCATCAGAATACGCTAGCACGACTCCTGCTCATCTGAGATGCTTCTCATTTGCATAACCTTAGGGCTCCTAATTGTTCTGCTCTTCATTTCATTTCAGTTCATTTAAAAAATCACAGAACCATTTTCATGATGACATAATTCATTGCTTTGATTTTGACATTTGCAAACACGAATCAGCAATGGTCCGATTTTGCACTATTACCATGTCTTCATACTGAAAATGCTTTTTGGAGGAGCCGATGAAAATAATTATTTGAAAATGTCCCCCCCAAAAATATGCCAAAGAGTATGTATCTAAAACTAAAAATTTCTCACTAACTCAGGGTCTCAGTAGGCACGTTCATGCTAAGTTTTAGTTTTCCATGTCTCTCCATTTGACTGAAGCAAAAGTATTCAATATTTCTTTCAAAACATCTCCCACCAAGATCTGTGCCCTCAGGGCATTTTCCTCCAAAGTCGGATTCTTTGTCTGAACTCTCCATCCCAATATGTCTGATACTTCCTAAGCACCATGTCTATGTGAACAATATATCAATTTTTCGCGAGCAGTCAATTTCTCACGATTATCATGCAAATGACATTACGTTCATATCAAATTGACATTCCTTTGTAGGAGGTACTTTTATGAATTTTCCTCAGTCATAACTTGAGTTACACGTGATTAGAAAAGAACACTTACTTTGCATTCTTGCTTACTTCATAAACCTGCTTGCTGAAAGTTGATGAAAACTGTAATGGGTAGAGATCAACAAATGGTCATTACGCACCTCAGTTCTTTTTCCTGGAGCATTTGCTTCTCCTCCTCCTCCTTCTCCTCCTGTCACCGGGTCGTTTTCTCGTGATGATTTTAGGTCATGTCCACCATGGCGAGGGTTACTGTTCTTCTTTATCGGTCTTTTTTCAATCCTTGTCGCCATTCCACTCTTGCTTTTGAACAGCTTGCCTGCTGTAGGCAAGCTGTTCTTTTCCTGAAAATGGAATAACCCCAAAACACCTCAGAAAAAATCAAAGTAAATCCAGGTAATAATAATAATAATAATTGTTTATTTTCCTTTGCGGAATCATGGTGTGTACAGTGCCCTGTCAGAAAAAAAGAGAGATTCAATGGTATGTAGTACAATGGTCAGGAAATAGTCAGAAAAAGAAAAAGGTATTAGAGAATGTTATCAGGTCAAGTTTATGTAATCTTGCGACGTCTCAATTTGTCACGGTGGATGCGTTGTGCACTAGGAATGGTGCTCTTTCTATACCTCTCAGTTCTGGCCTTAGGTACGCCGCTGTACGTTGTCGAGTGGGCAAAATTTTGGAGTTGTCTACAGCGACGTTGATGTAGGGATTCCCAGTCGTTAGAAGTACACGAGGATCCGTGGCAGATTCGGTGGGCTACACAGTGAACCTTCTCCAACTGATCTATGAGAGTTTTCGGGAGGCCTGGTCCCCAAACTAAGCAAACATACTCGGCACGTGGACGAAAGAAGCTATTGTAGGCTTTGACGAGATGCGTTTTTGATGCACCGGCTAGTTTCAGGAGTTTCAGGGCGTGGTAACACTTCTTGAGGGAGGAGACCATCTTGTGCACTTGCTGATCCCATTTCAAGTTTTCCTGGATCAGGATTCCGAGGTATGAGATGCTGGCACTGCGTTGGATTGTTTGGCTATCAATATCCAG